TAATGTTTTTCTGATCAGTTTTATTTTTTGACTGTGGAGTTTTTAAACATTGCAATGGAGATTTCACCTGTGTAAAGCTACAAGGCCTTTACTACTGTCTTATGTTTTGTACGTTTGTGTGCACTCTTGTGTTTTGTGTTGTATGTCTGTATGTGCGTATGTCCATATATCATATATGAGGAGCGCTCATGAAAAAATGGATCCTAATTTTTTTTTATTCACGTGATTTTAATGGTTTAATTTAAATTGGGTAAACAGCTGTTGAGGATTGTTTTAATATGTGAACAAATAAGGAGGCTAACAGATCTGTTTGTTTACTTTCACCTTTCCTTTTCACTATGTTTAATAATTCTGTTCAGGATAATGTCAATTGTTCAGAAAATTGTTTTCTTAGTACCTGTTGGAATGTTACATAATTTCTTTTTAGCATCATTGCCAGAATTCCTATCTTCATCCCAGTGCCGGTGAAGACAAAGATAAAACCAAACTATAGCTTCTATGATAGCTATCACAGTAAACTGTATAAACTGATGCATCAATGAATAATAACTCAACAAGTAATGCTCAATCAAGGAGTCGATTTTCTTTGGGAGGAAATGGACATATTGATAGATTCCCCCGCTTTGAACTGCTTACAGAACTTGCCTGGACTATGTATCACTTGTATGCATTGTGAACTATCTGTTGGTGCAGCGAATTGTGTTAGTGCTGGCATATCTTTGCTGATGGTGTCACCAGTGATACAATTTTTCCAAAGGAGCCGTCAATTGGCTTCATTTCGTGGCATTTCTGTATCATCCTCCCTTTTGCTAGTGATGGTCTAAAATTTGGGGGCCAACAGAGTTGAGGCAAAGAACCCCCCCCACACACACTGGTGCATAGGCCTATCCACAAGTATGGCTATATGCTGGACCGGTAGTCAGTGACGGGTATGATCCAATTGCAGTGGTACCAACCTAAGACAGGAGGCTGACGCCTAGAGGTCAGCTCATCCGATGATGGGTAAGAACCATATGTTGAATTGGACAACCTAACAGGCACGTTCCCTAAGCCACATTGCTTGTTGTTTAATTAAACAGAAGGGGGGAGATGCTGAGAGCCATAGCCAAGTAGGAATGACACATGGCATTTTGGGTTGAAAGGTGACCCTGCTCAGGGATTAGGGTGGCTCCGGGTTTAGGGTGGATCCTGCTGGGATTAGGGCGTATCCTGCTGCCTCAGGCGCCCGCTCCTTTGGAGTTCCCTTTGAGTTCTCGCGGGGGTTCTGAGAGAATTGGTGCGCGGAGCTGAGTGGAGGCAGGGTGTTCACGGGAAGTGTGCAGAGACTGCTTGTGAGAGTTCGGGAATAAAGAGTTGCTGTTTGAATCTACAAGGCTTTGTGGTGGCTCAGTTACTTTGTGCCCAGCCAGACTGCGGCATGTCCTCTCATAAACCACACACTTCTACATAATTTAGAATTTGAGGATTAATTGTGGTGCAAACAATCAGGTGTGAATGTTGTTTTCTCTCCTTCACCCAGATATAGAAATTACTTTTTATCTGTGTATTTAATATTTATACTTGCAATGTAGCCCATTGAAGTCAGTTCTACTTGCTAGATATATGTGATATGTCACCATAACACAATAAATGGGGTTCAAAGATTTCAACTGTATGAAATATGGGTTGAATTACAGTAAAGTTAGTAAAGTGACTGGAGTGAGTCCATACAAATTGGCTTGGATTTTCTTGCTACTCCATTCAAATTTGATCCCACTGCTTGGTTTGGGGTCAATGCCAACTGGTTGCAGTTGTTCACTCTACCTTAAATATTGATGGTGACCATTCTTGGTCCTATGTCTGGCTGGGAACTCAAGGACAGAGGATCATTTCCAGGAACTACCACACTGGTGAGCAAGTATCCCATTAGGAAGGTTTTGCTGTCTCCACCTGCCTGGGAAGGAGTTGCCTTCTGGAACTTCAGTTTGCTAGCATTTAACAGGGGAGTGGATCAAGAGTCAAAAATGAATCAAAAAAATATCCAAATTGAATTATCGTGGAATATATACCTATATACATACAACTGTCTATACACATAGAGAGGCTTTCAGTAAAATGTAGAGGTATAAAAACCATCCTGGTACAGAAGACTAAATATTGAGAGGAAAAGGAAATAGACTCCACGAGTTAACTCATAAATTTAAAGTATTCTAATCTTAAATCCCAAGGAACTTTTTGGGGAGCTAAAAAATAAAATAATTCTAAAGCTGATCCAGAAGAGTAAACAGATTACTACAGTAAAAATGTTTGAAAAATAATAGGAAAGCATGCCTTGCCAAAACAAACTCTGAAAAACAAATAAAGCCACACAAAATTTTGAAAACCTATATGATAGCATTAGAATTGATATATAAATCCTGGATCCGAGCAGATATATAAGAAGCTAATTATGGTGTATAAACTAACTCAACTTATTATAAAGGAGGCATTATAAATCAGTTCAAAAAAGAAGAATTACCCTATTAATAAAAGGAAAATTAGTCTAAGTCTAGGAGGAAATAAATCAATTTAGAATTTTCACCTTATATATCAGCCAGAAAAAGTCCTACATGAATCAAAGAACTAAATTTTAAAAAGAAAAACAAAATAAAAATGAAACAAAGCAAAAATATTTTTTCTAAAAACTAGATAATAAAAACTATTTAAACCTAAAGTAAATGGAAAAAGTCACAAAAGATAATTTGATTTGATGACTTTACTATTTATTATAAATAATTACAAAGCAAACAAGTTACAAAAAACTAGGACCAAATGTGCAAAATTTTTCTTATATACATATTTTATAAAAAATACAAATGTATTTTTGTAACAATGCCTATAAAAAACAAGGGTTGCCTGGGCACAGTGGCACACATCTGTAATCCCAGTGGCTTGGGAGACTGAGGCAGGAGGATTGCAAGTTCAAAGACAGCCTCAGCAACTTAGTGAGGTCCTAAGCAATTCAGTGAGACCCTGTCTAAATAAAATACAAAAAGGGATGGGGATGTGACTCAGTGGTTAAGCGCCCCTAGGTTCACTCTCTGGTTAAAAAAAAAAAAAAAAAAAAACAAGAGTTGACAATGAAATTATGAAAGACCAAAATAAAATTTTAAAAAAGGAAAACTTAATTTCAGTGAATATCAAAAAATGCATATTTAATAAAAGCAGAATATGTTTAGGATCTTGGAGTAGAGAGAGATTCTTTTCAAAAGGACACAATAAGCATAAATCAGAATGGAAAAAGATGATAAACTAGAGTCTATTAAAATGTATACCATTTGTTTATCAAAAAACATCCCTAAAGAGTAAGAAGACAATCAAAAAGTAGAAGAAGATATTTGATAGAAGGAGTCAAATCTAGAATATAAAAATTGCTTACATAATTCAAAAACAGATGGACAACTTAATAGAAATGTGGACAAAATATTCAAGTAATTTACAAAAGAAGATTATCTACAAATGGCTAGTAACTTTACAAAAAAAGAGTTCAATGAGAATTAAACACCAAGAAATGCAAATTAAAGCCACAATGATGAACCAGCATAGCAAACTAGCTAAGATGCAAAAGAGTATTTACCAGAATTTTTTGAAGCTAAAATTTTTATTCGCTCCTGGGAAAAAATCTAAATTAAAGAACTATATTGGAAATTACTGTTGGGCAGTATCTATTGAGGCTGAACATAGGCATACCCTGTGGTCCAGGAATTCCACCTCTATGTCTTCATATAGTCACAGAAATGTTCATGGTCCAAAATTGAAAGCCATCCAAATGTCCATTCACAATAGACTAGATAAACACATGATATACTGGATTTCTAAAGTAGAATAATATACTAAAACAGGAAAGAAAACAATGAGAGTAGTGATTTTACTGGGGGAGTAGTGACAATGGGGCTTGAGGGAATTTCTGAGTATGGTGTTCTGGACGTTGGTTGTTCAGGTGGACTTTCTTTGGGACAACCAGACACTTCTCTGTTTGTATCTTTACATATTTCAATTTTAAAGTTTTAAAATAATCAGATGGCATCTTTTAGAGTTTCTAAATTGATAATTCTCATTGTTGGCAAAGGTACAGTACAACAAGTTCCCTTACATACTTATTGGTAGATCTGGAAATCTAATCAACCCTGTTGGAAAGCTTTTTAGCAATATGGATAAAAACTATTTCAAATGATATGTTCTTTGACATGAATCTATACTAATAATCCACTAAAATGAAGACAAAATAATGCATAATAAATTTAAAACTATGTACATATGGTACTATCTAAACTGTTTTAAATATACTTTAGAAAAATTAAGAAGAAAATATACCAAAAATTATTATTAGAGGTTGAATGTTTTTGTGCCCAGCCCCCCAATTTTTATGTTGAGGGCTGGGGGTGGGGGCGGGTAGCTCAGTGGTAAAGTACTTGCCTAGTGCATGCAAAGTCCTGGGCTCAGTCCTTGGCCTCCCTCTCAACAAACACACAGAAAATTTGCTTCCCCCCCAACAATGTGAATGTCACTAAGGGGTGAAGCCTTTGAATGGTAGTTAGGTTTGGAGGAGGTCACTAGTGTGGGGGCCTCATGATGTGTTAGTATCTACATATGAAGAAGAAGAGACATGAAAGCTCCCTCTCTCTCCACCATGTGAGGCCACAGCAATAAGGTGGCCATCCACCCCCCTAGAAGAGGGCCCTTGCCAGAATCCCGTCCTACTGGCACTCTGACCTTGAGCTTTCTGGCTTCTGGAACTGTGAAAAATAAATGTGTGTTGTTTAAGTCGAAGTCTATGATATTCTCTTATGGCAGCCCAAACACACTAAGACAGCGATCAACTGTTATACCTGTGATTGAGGGTGATTTTTATCTATTCTTATCATTATTTTCCTCAAACTTTATGAATTATATTTTGATTTTTTTTAGTAATAAATATTTATTGGTTTATATTATAAATAAAAACATGTTATTCTTGTAATAAAAAATGGCACATGTGAGCATTTTAATACAAATGATTAGAATATATTTATACTATATATAAGTCTACACATTAGAATACTAAAATTTTGCTATATATAATATCACCCTAGAATTCTTTAAAAAAAATCACTGGGAAGAATTAGATGATGTTTGTGAAATAGGTTCTCCCATTACAATACTGCTTCTGTCATTTAGAGTTTTGACAACATTTGTAGCTGGAGACTGAAGCACTTTACGAGAAAGCCTCATTCTTCCATCAGCTGGATCACGACCGAAGTATTTCACCTGAATTTCTTGGCCAACTTCTAATCCTAGGGCAGTGGGATGTTTAATCTTTCGTTGATCAAGTTGTGTGTTATGAAGAAGCACAGCAGTCATATTTGGATATAGTTTTACCATTACTCCAGTGTCTCTGATTTCAGTTATTGTGGCAGTATAAACTGCTCCAAACTCTAATTGTTGCTCTTGATCATCTTTGCAGATTTCACTAATGAATTCTTTTGCTTCATGCATTGCACTGGGTGTTGGTGCAAATACAGAAAATGTTTCTTCATCCAACTTATTAATAGTTACACCTGTTTCAGCTTGAAGTTTTTTAAATGATATCCACCTGGTCCAACAAATCTTGCTCATTTTGATAATGGAACCTGAACAGTTTCTACAACAGGTCCATTTTCTTTTCTAGATGCTCGAGGTTTTGAAATAGTTTTGTTCATAATCTGTAGTATCTCTTTCTTTGCCACTGATGCTTGCTGAATGGCTTCCATTACAATTTTCATTGGTATTCCAGGTAATTTAATATCAGCCTGTAATGCAGTTATTCCCTTATTAGTACCAGCTATTTTGAAATCCATGTCTCCATTGTAATCTTCAATTCCCAGAATATCTGTCAGCAAACGATAATCTTCTATTTCACCCTTCTCAGGATTGCTTTTGGTGACCAATCCTATTGCTACACCTGCAACAGCAGATGAAATTGGAACCCCTGCATCCATTAATGCCAAACTTCCACCACATGCAGATGCCATAGAAGATGACCCGTTTGACTCTAAGACTTCAGATGTCACTCTTATGGTAAAAGGAAAATCTTTGGGAATAACAGGATACAAAGCTTTCTCAGCAAGAGCACCATGCCCAAGCTCTCTTCTATTTATGCCAGTGACTTTTCCAATTTCATTAGTTGCATAAGGAGGAAACTCATAGTGTAGCATGAAATTTTTGTCTTTTATCCCATTTATTGCTGTTCGGTCTGATTTAATACTAGATTCTAATGAATCAAACGTAACAGTACAAAGCACCTGTGTTTGTCCCCTTTGAAATAATGCTGATCCATGAAGAGTTTTAAACATATCTACCTCACAACTTATATTCCTAAGTGAAGTCAAATCGCGTCCATCACACCTTTTGTATTCATTCAAAATAATACTTCTGAAAACCTCCTTTGCAACAACATTGAAGGATTCTATTATTTCATATGGATCGACATCTGGAAATGTTTCCTTTAGTTGTTCCTCTGTATCTAATCTTATCTTGTTAACAGCTTCATCTCTGGAAATTTTATCATGTTCATAATTTGTAAAAACTGCATAGAGTTTCTCCATGGCAAGTTTATGAACATATTTCACAATCTCTTGTGAAGGGGTAAATATCTTCTGAGGTGTCCTCTTGGTAACACCAATTTCTTTCACCAACTGCTGGATGCCCTGAATTATTTGTTGGGTGTGTTTCACTCCCACTTTGATAGCATGGCAAAAGTCTTGCTGTAAAATGTTCTCTGCAGAGGCTTCCAACATGACAATCTGACTTTTAGGTGCTCCAGCAACCATTAAATTTAAAGTACTTGAAGACATTTCTTTTCTTGTTGGATTAACAATACATTCCCCATCAATCATTCCTATTCGTACTGCCCCAACAGGTCCATTCCAAGGAATATCTGATAATGAGAGGGCTACAGAAACACCATTAATTGCTAGGACATCAGGTTCATTAATACCATCTACTGCTAACAGATTACAAAGGACTTGTGTATCATAAAAGTAGCCAGCAGGAAAGAGAGGTCTAATTGAACGATCTATTATTTGACTTGTAAGAATTTCTTTATCAGAAGAAACAATCTCTCTTCTAAGATAGTTTGTGGGAATTCTACCTGCTGCAGCAGCCTTCTGTCTGTAGTCAACCACCAAAGGCATGAACTGGGAAGGTGAAGGTTTTGTTTTACTGACAGCTGTGACCATCACTGCAGTGTCACCTGACTGTACTACAGCAGAGCCATCTGCAAATCTGGCCAGTTTCCCAGAGGATATTTCTATTTTTCTGTTGCCTAGGTCCACAGCCACAGCTCGGGACCCCACGCTACCCGATAGTGCTCGTATCTGCAAATACGTGAGCGCCGGATTCCGCCTGGGCATGCGGAGGGGACTATCGCCCAGCGGCCGGAGCCGGAGGCAAGAGCAGCAGCGACTGCAGGCCGCCATGACACGCAGCACCATATTTTGATTTTTATAAAGCACAATTCTCTTTAATACGTGACTTCGTCCCCACCGCAAAGGTCAAACAATAGAGAAGTGGAAAATAGAACAATAGAGAAACACGTGCAAGTTTCCCTTTAACACTCTGTCACCACTCCTCCTTGGTGGATTTTGTTTCTCAAAGGTAAGCACCAGTAACATTCCGCATTTATAAACAATTTATATCTTCTCATATACGAACAAGCATATATATGTAAAGAAATAGATAAAGAGTTTGGTTTAAAAAGATACTTATCCACCAAAAATAAAACCACTGGGGTGCTGGATATTGCCAGTCTATTGGTTTTATTGTTTGACCCACTCAATGATTTAAAAGGTTTCATAGCTACACTGGTAACCACAACATAAACTGCTTATCACCTGTTCTCCACACCTGGCCCTCCACATTTTCAATACAGGCTGGGTTTCTATAGATCTTTGTGTTTGTCTTTCTGAATCCCTTTAACATATCATAAGATGCTTTAAACCCATACATGCACGTGTGCACGCGCGTGCGCACACACACACACACACACACACACATACATACACAAACATTCTGAATAATAATTATGTTTCCATGTTCATGTCTAGATCTACCTCATTCATTTCTATGTAGTATTCAATAATTCATATTACTTCATAATCAGAATTTTGAAAGGTGCACTTTTTTATTTTAAAGGGTTTCAATGCAAATTTTCAACTTGATTCAGGTTCCTGAATGCATTTCTATCTGTCCATTAACTATGAGTTCTTTTAGTATCTGTTTGATTTTTCATCAAAGATGGTTTGTGAAAGGATGTGTTGGTGATTTGGAAGGCATTCTTATACTGAATGCTACACAAAGACTCCTGTTTGCATAGTAGAAAAACAAAGTTATTATTTAGAAACTACCTTGAGGAAACTTTCTTTTCACATGGAATTGGTTATGTCCAAATGTCAAAGGAAACTTCATAATTTTTGTACATTTTCTTCATGCTCAGGAAACAGCCGGTAGTTGAAGATCTTATAAACCATGTGTACCTCTGTCACCTCAGACATCTGAAATCTTTCTTTTAATTCTAATTTTTTATATATGACAGCAGAATGCATTACAATTTATATCACACATATAGAGCACAATTTTTCATATCTCTGGTTGTACACAAAATAGAGTCACACCATTCATGTCTTCACACATTTATTTACGGTAATGATGTCCATCTCATTCCACTGTTTTTTTTTACCCTCATACCTTCTTCAACCCCTTTGCCCTATCTAGAGTTCGTCCATGCTCCCATCCCCAAACCCATTATAAATTAGCACTCTTATATCTGAGAAAATATTTGGCGTTTGGTTTTTTGGAATTGGTTTACTTTGCATTATATTCTCCAACTTTATCCATTTACCTGCAAATGCCATGATTTTATTCTTTTTTAATGCTTAATAATATTCCATTGTGTATATATACCACATTTTCTTTATCCATTCATCTACTGAATGGCATCTAGGTTGGTTCCAGAGTTTAGCTATTGTGAATTGTATAGTATGCTGTTTTTAAGTCCTTTGGGTATAAACCGAGGAATGGGATAGCTGGGTCAAATAGTGGTTCCACTTCCAGTTTCCCAAGGAATCTCTATCCTGCTTTCCATATTGGCTGTACCAGTTTACAGTCTCACCAGCAGTGTATGAGTGTACCTTTTCCCCTACATCCTCACCAACACTTATTGTTTATATTCTTAATAGTTGTCATTCTGACTAGAGTAAGATGAAATATTACAGTGGTTTTGATTTGCATTTCTCTAATTACTAGAGATGTTGAACATTTTTTTCATATATTTGTTGATTGATTGTATCTCATCTTCTGAGAAGTATCTGTTCAGCTCCTTGGCCCATTTATTAATTGGGTTATTTGTTTTCTTGGTGTTGAGATTTTTGAGTTCTTTATATATCCTAGAGATTAGTGCTCTATCTGATGTGTGTGTGGTAAAAATTTGCTCCCATTCTGTAGGCTCTCTATTCACTTCACTGATTGTTTCTTTTTTTTTTTTTTATTTCAAAATCAATTTTATTGCAGCCAAAACAGTGGAATTAACTGTACATAATAAACTATTTTATATATATACACATTTTAAGTTATAGGGAATAAAGTTTATTTTGGCAGATAGTGTTAAACAAAATTAAAGTTGCATACATTAGTAACATAACTCAACATCCTTAATTTGGTATAAGTGTGACACATTTTCTTGCTTTCCTGTGTTCTGCTAAATCACCATACCTAAACTGTTTTATAAAACTGATATGCTGAAATTTAACTTTACTGTTTTCGCTTACGCTCTGATTCCAAACAAAACTTTTCATAAGCTTCTTCAATCTCTGGGTCCATCTCACCATCAATATCATCCAAATATGGATCACCACCCCCTGATAAATCTGTTCCATTTTCTTCATAATCTGGAAAAAAGTCCTCTCTTTCAAGTAATTCTTGATATTTCTCTTGGTAATCTGGATCAGCTGCAGTGAAAGGAACACCATCAGATGTATAAAATGTCGGTTCATTCATAAAGTAGTTAGGATCATTTTCAGGTGTTGCTTCTCTGTATGTTGAAGTTGCATGGACTCTACCCCAGTTACTTGACCGGAGTTCAACAAGCTTCAAGAGCATCTGTTTTACATCTCTGCTACAGTTTGCATCTAGGACAACATTTTCAATTCTCTGAATAATTTCTTCCATATCAGTTTTTCCTTTTTCCTTCCAGGCATCTTCCAAAACTGATCCTGTCAACTTCAGTAATTTTACTGCACAAATTAAGTTGTCATCCATTGGATTAGAGAAGAGGGCATTCAGCAATTCTCGTAGACCAACCTGAAGGATATCTGCTCTTGTAACCTGTCCATTTGTTCCCTTGATCTCCAAGTTAAGATAAAGTTCTCCCAGAAAGAGTACAAATGCATGAAATCGTTTTCGAGTCACTTCATCTCCTTTTGCAGCTTGATCTTTAACTTCATATTCAGTCCGACATCTGTTGGTAGATGAGTTCCACAAGTTCTTGCAAAGCATCATCTGTTGTAACCCAGCCATTCAGGGTCTCTGCAAACTGTTCAATTTCTGTTTCAAAACTGCCAGGCTGTTCTGTAAGATGATTCAAAAAATCCTGAACATATTCTGATAGAGTGGGATAATCCTCACAACCATCCTCGTAGGATTCTGGAGCCCGATCGAAAAGTGATTGTTTCTTTTGTTGAGAAGAAGCTTTTAACTTTGAATCCATCGCATTTATTGATTCTTGATTTTAATTCTTGTGCTATAGGAGTCTTATTAAAGAAGTAGAGGCCTAATCCTACATGATGGCGATTTGGGCCTACTTTTTCTTCAATTAGGTGCAGAGTGTCTGATTTAATTCCTAGGTTCTTGATCCACTTTGAGTTGAGTTTTGTGCATGGTGAGAAATAGGGGTTTAATTTCATTTTGTTGCATATGGATTTCCAGTTGTCCCAGCACCATTTGTTGAAGAAGCTATCATTTCTCCAATGTACGTTTTTGGTGCCTTTGTCTAATATAAGTTAACTGTAATTATTTGGGTTTGTCTCTGTGTCCATTGGTCTACAAGTCTATTTTAGTGCCAATACCATGCTGGTTTTGTTACTTGGCTCTGTAATATAGTTTCAGGTCTGGTACAGTGATGCCACCTGCTTCACTCTTCTTGCTAAGGATTGCTGTAGCTATTCTGGGTCTCTTATTTTTCCAGATGAATTTCATGAATGCTTTTTTGAATTCTATGAGGAATGTTATTGGGATTTTAATTGGAATTGCATTAAATCTGTATAGTGCTTTTGGTAGTATGGTCATTTTGACAATATTAATTCTGCCTATCCAAGAACAAGGGAGATGTTTCCATCTTCTAAGGTCTACTTTAATTTCTTTCTTTAGCATTTTGTAGTTTTCATTTTAGAGGTCTTTCACCTCTTTTGTTAAGTTGATTCCCAAGTATTTTATTTATTTTGAGGCTATTGTAAAATGGGGTAGTTTTCCTTGTTTCCCTTTCAGATGGTTTGTCACTGATATACAGAAATGCCTTTGATTTAACGATGTTGATTTTATATCCTGCTATTTTGCTGAATTCATTTATTAATTCTAGAAGTTTTCCAGTGGATTTTTTGGGGTCTTCTAGGTATAGAGTCATATCATCAACAAATAGTGCTAATTTCAGTTCTTTTTCTATCCATATCCTTTTAATTTGTTTCATCTGTCTAATTGCTCTGGCTTGTGTTTCAAGAACTATGTTAATAGAAGTGGTAAAAGAGGGCAACTGTGTTTTTTTTTCCAGTTTTTAGAGGGAATGCTTTTAATTCTTCTCCATTTAGAATGATGTTGTCCTAAGGCTTAGCATAATAGCTTTTATAATGTTGAGATATGTTCCTATTATCCCTACTTTCTCTAGTATTTTGAACATGAAAGGGTGATAAATTTTGTCAAGTGCTTTTTCTGAATCTATTGAGGTGATCATATGATTCTTATCTTTAAGTCTATTGATATGATGAATTACATTTATTGATTTTCATATGTTGAACCAACCTGGCATCCTGGGATGAACCCCACTTGATCATTGTGCATGATCTTTTTAATATGTTTTTGTATTTGATTTGCCAGAATTTTATTGAGAATTTTTGCATCTATGTTCATTAGAGATATTAGTCTGAAGTTTTATTTCTTTGATGTGTCTTTGCCTGGTTTTGGAATCAAGGTGATATTGGCCTTATAGAATGAGTTGGAAGTGCTCCCTCTTTTTCTATTTCATGAAATAATCTGAAGAGTATTGACATTAGTTCTTCTTTAAAGGTCTTGTAGAACTCAGCTGTGTATCCATCCAATCCTGGGCTTTTCTTGGTTGGTAGGCTTCTGATGGTGTCTTCTATTTCATTGCTTGAAATTAATCTGTTTAAATTGTGTATATCATCCTGATTCAATTTGGGCAAATCATGTGACTCAGAAATTTATTGATGCCTTCAATATTTTCTATTTTATTAGAGTACAAATTTTCAACATAATTTCTAATTATCTTCTGTATTTCTGTAGTGTCTGTTATGATAGTTCCTTTTTCATCATATATGTTAGTACTTTGAGTTTTCTCTCTCCTTCTCTTTGTTAGCATGGCTAAAGGTTTATCAATTTTATTTATTTTTTCAAAGAACAAACTTTTTGTTTTGTCAGTTTTTTCAATTGTTTCTTTTGTTTCAATTTTGTTGTTTTCAGCTCTGATTTTAATTATTTCCTATATTCTGCTGCTTTGGGTGTTAATTTGTTCTTCTTTTTCTAGGGCTTTGAGATGTAATGCTAGGTCATTTATTGTTGACTTTTTCTTCTTTTAAGGAATGAACTCCATGCAATGAGCTTTCCTCTAAATACTGCCTTCATAGTGTCCCAGAGATTTTGATATGCTTTATCAATGTTCTCATTTATCTCTAAAAATTTTTCAATCTCCTCCTTGATGTATTTTGCAACCTATTGTTCATTTAGTAGCATATTATTTAGTCTCCAGGTATTGGAGTAGCTTTTATTTTTATTTTATCATTAATTTCTAATTTCATTCCATTATGATCTGATAGAATGTGGGATAGTATCTCTACTTCTCTGTATTTGCCAAGAGTTGCTTTGTTGCATAATATATGGCCTATTTTAGAGAAGGATCCATGTGCTGCTGAGAGGAACATGTATTCACTTGTTGATGGATATATGTCAGTTAAGTCTAAGTTATTGATTGTATTATTGAGTTCTATAGTTTCTTTGTTCAGCTTTCGTTGGGAAGATCTATCCAGTGGTGAAAGAGGTCTGTTAAGGTTACCCAGAATTATTGTGCTGTGGTCTATTTGAACTTGAGAAGAGTTTGTTTGATGAATGTAGATACTCCATTGTTTGGGGCATATATATATTTATAATCATTATGTCTTGTTGGTGTATGGTTCCCTTGAGAAGTATGAAATGTCCTTCTTTATCCCTTTGATTAACTTTAGCTTGAAGTCTACTTTATTTGATATGAGGATGGAAACCCCTACTTGCTTCCATAGTCCATGTGAGTGGTATAATTTTTCTCAACCTTTCACCTTCAGTCAGTGGATGTCTTTTCCTGAGATGAGTCTCTTTGAGGCAGCATATTGTTGGGCCTTTTTTTTAAAAAAAAATCCAATCTACTAGACTGTGTCTTTTGATTAGTGAGTTTAGGCCATTAACATTATGGGTTATTATTGAGACATGATTTGTATTTACAATCATTTTTGTTTATTTTTGGTATTCAACTTGACTTGGTTTTTTCTTTGATTGGTATTTACTTTAGTGTAATACCTCCCTCTACTGATTTTCATTGTTGTTTTTCATTTCCTCTTCATGGAATATTTTGCTGAGGATGTTCTATAATGTAGGCTTTCTAGTTGTAAATTCTTTTAACTTTTATTTATCATGGAAGGTTTTTTATTTCATCATCAAATCTAAAACTTAATTTTGCTGAATACAAGATTCTTGGTTGGCATCTATTTTCTTTCAGAGATGGATATATGTTATTCCCGGATTTTCTGGCTTTTATGTTCTGGGTTGAAAAATCTGCAGATATCCTAATTGGTTTCCCCCTATGTGGAATCGGATTCCTTTCTGTAGTGGATTTTAAGATTCTCTCCTTATTCTGTATGCTAGGCATTTTCATTATAATGTGCCTTGGTGTGGATCTGTTGTGATTTTATACATTTGGCATCCTGTAAGCCTCTTGTATTTGGTTTTCCAATTCATTCTTCATGTTTGTAAAATTTTGTGCTATTATTTCATTGAATAGATTGTTCATTCCTTTGGTTTGGAATTCTATACCTTCCTCTATCCCAATAACTCTTAATTTGGTCTATTTATGCTGTCCCATATTTCTTGAACGTTCTGCTCATGGTTTCCTATTATCTTCACTGTGTGGTCTACATTCGTTTCAAGGTTACATATTTTGTCTTCATTGTCTGAAGTCCTGTCTTCCAAGTGGTCTAATCTGTTGGTATGCTTTCAATTTAACTTTTAATTTGGTTTATTGTTTCTTTCATTTCAAGGATTTCTGTTTTTTTTTTTTTTTTTTAGAATCTCTATCTCCCTATTGAAGTAATCTTTTGCTTCCTGTATTTGCTTATGTAGTTCTTTATCAAAATGATCTTTTGCTGCCTGTATTTTCTCTCTTATATCATCATTTAATTCACAGAACATTTTAATGTGTATATACTGAACTCCTTATCTCTGGCCATGGATTCTGATAATGTAGTATCTTGATTTATTTGGGGGCACTTTCTTCCCTTGCCTTTTCATGTTTGTGTGTCTTCCCTTCCAGCAATGCACATCTGAGACATTATCGTTTTACCCTATAAGCTTATAGTGCTCCTGAAGGGTTCTGATACTCTCCTTGGAGGGGAAGGATGGTGTTAACAGATCCCAGTATAAACAATATACTACCTTAAACCAAGTAGACTATCAAGACATTTAGAGTTTGGTCATAATATACAGAAATGATGATTTCAATTAATATCGACAATATCAACAGTAGGTTTACAAAAGGGTTTTACAGTTTCTGATGGTGGACAGAGAACTGGGGGTGAGGTGTAGGATGGGATGTTGAGAGGGTAGGAGGTGAGGATATAGAGTTATTATATCTTAGGATGTGTTAAAGAAGAATCTAAAAAAGAAGTTTAGTAACAGGAGAAGAGAGAGGAAGTAATTTTGGGTAGACAAGTAAGTGGGATGATAGTAAAGTACATAAAACAAACACACATAAATATTAAGAAAAATAAAAAGTGTAAAAATAGGAGAAAAAAAAGACTATACAACACAACTGTAATATTCTACTCAGACATCCTAGTCCTCAGTATTCTAATTCATGCAAAGTACTTGGTTTCACATATGTTGGGGATGTGAGGGTGGGAAAATAGAGTGGGAGAAGAAAAAAAAAAAGAAAATCTCGAAGGAAGAAATAAGGATTGTTTTGGTTGGAGATCAGTATCTTTCCTGCTTCCCTTCTCATCCAATAGGTGAGGTTATCTGTTGTTAGCTGGTATCTCCACCCTCAGAATGGTGAAGGTTACCAGGGTGGGAGGGTTGGTCTTTGGTGCAGGGCACCTAGAAGTGGGCTATGGCACCTGATGGTCCCCAGTGGGAGACTTCATCCCAAGGATCTCTTTTGGGGCCAGCTTGTGTGATGTGGGTAACCTGGTCTTATCTCCTTATCTCCCCTGTAGACCTCACAGTTTCTGGTCTCTAAATTAGTCTCTAAACTGTATCTCACTCACCCTCTCCCTTTCTACTTCTTAATCGGGACTTTTCTCTCTGGAGGTCTTTTGGGTTGAGCTTTGGGAATTGCACACATGTCTTAGAGAGCTGTTTTGTACTGGCCAGTCACTGTGCTGGGTTAGTGGCTGCTGAGGGGAGAGGGGAGTTGGAAACTACCTGCTCAGCCGATGTTCCAAACTGGGAGTTATCCCAACTAAAGATGGCGACACAGGTGACCCAAGATGGAGGCAGCTACTTTCAGCAATGGGGTGTCGGGTCGGGTGGGGGGAGCTGGGCGATGGTGTTGGGTGTTGTGTTCAGAGATGAGCTCTGTGGCCGCAGTGTTGTGGCTGTTGGCTGTGTTCAGAGCCTGTGCGACATCGCCAGGTGCAGGTAGGCTATCACACATAGGAGAGAGACTATGGCAGTGGCTGCAGAGTCCCAAGATGGAGGCAACAGGAGGAGCCCCATGTTTATAGGTGGGAGTCCACATGGGAGTGGTAGCACATGGGCAGCAGCCAGGTGTCCTGTATGGGAGCAGAATCTGGGATTTCTGCATGGGTGGGTGGCCAGGAACCCTGTGTGGGTGCTGATGCCAGTGGTCCCGCTTGGTCATCCGTGAATTCTTTTTGGGTGAGTAGTCAGGAGTCCTTCTCTGATGCTGAGGCCTGGAGCTCTGCACGGGCAGGGCAGCTGTGATTCCTGCACATGATCAACTGTTGGGGGTGGGGGGGTCCTCTATCACTCGCAGAGAAGCAGTCTTCCCACTACTTGAGTCCCAGCTCACGGAGCGACACAGATTGCTGCCTCCCTCTGGCCATCTTGGATCCCCTTAAATTTTTGATTATACTCAGTCCTGTACATTACTGTATACTGTCTTGCCTTATGTTCCAATCTGTTAGTTTATATATTTCATGCCTTGTTAGTTTAAGTATTTAAACCTTATATCTCCCAAATGCAGTAATTTTCTTGGAGAAATGATTTATATATATGTATAACCTCTATGCAGATGAAATAAAAACCCAGCACCCACCTGGCTTTGTCTCAGTGGAGTACTGCAGACTTATTCCAGCAGTCAAGGGTAATTAGAAGTAATTCCAGTCCTAACTGGTGTTTCTCTGATATCATTAGAAGAGGATCTAATGCATAGCCCAAGGCAACAATTCTCCAAATGCTCCTTCCCTGAACAATCTGTCCCAAAGTGTCTTCCCTTAGAGCTCACTTTAGTCTCTCCTTTTTCAAAGCCATTGCCCATCCTTGCTTCTCTGTTCATCCCCAATGGATTACCTCCAATCCATAGTTTAAGACTCAGGCAGAGGTGGAGATGGAGTTGGGGATAGAAGGGGACAGTCCTATTAGACAACACCAGAATTTTCCACCTCAAATGAAGGAAATGGGCATGAGAGATGGAACAAAATCTAACTACTTTTGCTTAGTCATTTTTGTACCTATTAAATATATATACAAAGACTAGATCTATTATAGACAAGGTCTAGAACTCAGCGTATTAAAGCTGAGATTGTTTTGGAAATCAAGGGAGAGGTTTTTTGCAGTTTGTTTGCTAGTTTTTTTCTAGAGAAAGAAAGTGATATTTACTGAATGCAGGATACTGTGGAATGCCCCTTTCATAGTATTTTGTTCAGCTAGTTCAACATTGCTAAGAGGAACATATTATTGCTTTGGTCTTACACTTGAGGAATATAATGGGTTCCTTCGGTGTATCTGTACAGCTCATTGCATTCTCTAAGAAATTGTCCTGCCAGATTCCCCCATCCACAAAGTTAATCTTCCTCATTGGTGGGAGCTGAGGTATACATGTGACATGAGGTGAGTCAATCAGGTGTTCTGTCTCAGGAATTTGAAATTAAGGTTCCATTTTGGCAGTGGCTGGAACTGGAACTTGTAAGTCAATTAACCCTTTCAGAGAGTGGGTCTCTGGATAATCTCAGCTAGCTGACTTGCATGGTGAGGTGGGTAGAAGCTGGAGAAGGTCAGTACCTCTGCTAACCTGCTGATGGAAGAATAGAGATACTAAGAAAACTGCTGTGGAAGGGGAGATCTAAGAGCAAACCAGATGAGGGAAAAGAGAAGAGCCCTTGGGGAAGATTTAAGAAGAGAAGAGAGATTTGAAGGATTTGCTGGGCGTGTGGAGACACTTCTGCACTGTCCATCCTGTGAGAGTCGTAGCAAGATCAGTTGAGGCCCTTCTGTTTTGAGGAGTGCAGGCTGTTCCTGAAGCAATGCATTGTCCTGTGTCAAAGCTAGGGTGGGGCAGGAGCAGGGACTGGAAGTGAGGCTAGCTGGCATATGCACTAAACAGGTAAACTGTGGGGCTATGAGAGATCTCTATGGACAGAGGAGCAGACAAAGGATTTCCTCCAAAGCCTGGCTTCTGATCTGTAGACAGATAAGAAATCTTGTCTTCAGAGAGAAATAAATGTGAGGGATAGAGTAACAGTCTTATTGTTTGCGGGTGGTGGTGATGTTTGGTTAGACACAATTCCTTGTTCTTGCTCTTTTCTGAGGTCTTGCTCCTTTTGGGCCTGTTATAGTCTAGATGTGAAGTGTCCCCAAAAAGTGCATCACAGTGCAAGAAAATTCAGAGAAGAACACAACCAGTGAATTAATCCCCTGAACGGGATTAACTGAATGGTAAGTGAAGGTGGGTAGGGTGTGGTTGGTGGAGGTGAGAATTGGGGGTTTGGCTTTGGGGTACATATTTTGTATCTGGTGAGTGGAGTCTCTCTCTGCTTTCTGATCATCATATGAACTGCTTTGCTCCAGGAAATTCTTCTGCAATGATATTCTGCCTCACCTCGAGCCCTAAGGAATGGAGCCAGCCTCCTATGGATGGAGACTTCTGAAAGCTTGAGTCCCCGAGTAAACTTTTCCTCTTCTAAAATTTTTCTTGTTGGATCTTTTAGTCATAACAGTGAAAAAGTTGATTGAATCAGGGCCCTTGCTTCCTGGGAGGCATTCTCACATACTTATTATAAATTCTCTTTTTTACTTCAGCGTAGCTCAGTATGGGTTTCAGTACTAGCTATAAAAAACCTTAATACCATTGGCTGTCCGTATCCACAGGTTTCACATTTGTGGATTCAAGCAACTTCAGATTGAAATTGCTTGGGAAGAAAAATGTGCCTGAACTGAACATATATATGTTTTTCTTGTTATGATTCCCAAAACAATACCCTGTAACAACTATTTACACGGCATTTACAATTTATCATGTATTATAAGTAATTATAAGTAACCTAAAGATGATTTAAATATAGAGGGGGAGGTGCTCAGCTTGTATGTAAATACCACACTATTTTAAGTAAGGGACTTGAGCATTGGAGGATTCTGGTATCCTTGGGGATCCTGGAACCAATTTCCTCTGGGTACAGAGGGACAGCTATAATGCATTGAATCTATGGCTCCTACAGATTTAAGAATTGATCAAAGTCCTCTGGCTACTGAGTGGTACTTGCTGGGATTCAAACCTGTCTCCTAGCATTCTCCCCCTCACATTCTGCCCAGTCACTCTTGTCACCTCCCTGTTTTTCAAATGCCAAACTCATGCCTGTCCTATTGGGTTCTGTTTATATTGCCTCAAACAATCTTTAAGGTCACTCCCTCACCTCATTCAGGTCTCAATTCAAATGCCACTCAGAGTTACCTGCCCTGACGACTTCATCTAAAATAATTACTTTCTAGGCTTTATTTATCTATTTAATTTTTACTAGTATGTATCAATTCCTAATTTCATAGTACATATTTATTTTACTTATGTAATTCTTTTAATGAGAATATAAGCTTCTTGAGGGCTGGGGATCACCTCTCTCATTTATTGATGTATTTTTGGTGCCCTGAGTAGAACTCTATTTGGCATGTAGGAGGCACCTAATAAATGTTTAATCAATTAATTAAGTAGATATCTGTTTCCAACTTTCATGTTATTTTCTTGGCCTCACAGTACATGATACAATCCTAGGAACATTCACAAATAACACCCTCTCAGATTAAGGATGGAAACCTTGTCTGAAGGGCATGCTGTGGAACTCGACTCCTTGGTGTGCAGGTACAATGGGTAACTGCTGGCTATTCTTCTGGACCAAAGAGGTGGAGGTGGTTGCAGAATGCTCTCATCCAGTGTTTATAACAACAGAATCAAAAGTGCATAATCTCATTTCTAGCTGCTTTCCCACGGTTAGTTTCCTCAGTGACAGAGTGCTTTTCACCCTATGGTACTGTGTGGTAACTCACAAATGACATCTATGTGTACTGACATCTATGTGGCAAAAGACTATTGACTTTTATCATGCCCACTGTCCCCAATCAGCCTGAGAAAGATTCTGGCTTGCTAAGGCTACTCTGTCTCCACAATAGAAAAGCTGTTGAGGACTTGACAGGATCCAAAAGTGGCACTTATGGGAGGTCAGGAGGGACACATTAAAGAAGGGTCCAGAGAAAATGGGGGCCAGTCTATCCGGGCCAATCTAGGCTCTTTCAGTGTATCATTTTGAAACAAGCCTATTAATCCAAAGGTTTAGCTATGGCTTTCACATCTGCCCCCATGATACCATGAGGATGGTGACTCCCATTGATTTTATTGCTTTGAACCATGGACTAAGGAGAAGATTCAAGGGTATATCCACAACCAGTACTGGAAAAATGCAAAGATAGATACGAAACTCCAGAAGGGGGAATGGGAAGGGCAGTAGAATGAATCGGACATAACTTTCCTATGTTCATATATGAATACATGACCAGTGTAACTCCACATCACATACAACCACAAGAATGGGGAATTATACTCCATGTAAACAGAATCTTTAAGGTCACAAATTCAGAGTAGCTTGAAAAAGACAGTTGATAATTTTTTATTTGATGAATCACAACATGAAGCCAGACATTTACCCAAGGTGGATGATAGCCTGGTTTCTAGCCAGAGTCCTGTCTGATACAAGGGAAAGAAGCAGAAGTATTTATAGCCATCTCCAGGCCTGGGGAGACAGTGCCTGGAGCCTTCCCGCCCAAGCACATGGAGTCGGAGTCACTAAGACTATCAGTTCCATGATAGGTTAAAGGCACTTTGTTCCTTGATTTAGTCCTGCCAAAATTCAAAACCTGGTGAAATGGCTGCCATGGCTGACCAGATGTCTCCCGCTCCCTGACAGAAAATGAAGAGGAGATCTCATTCAGTAACTCCCCACCTAGCTCCCACAATTTGAAGACATTAACAATTTATTCCAATCCTCCCTCCCTCCCATCAGGAGCTACCCAGATGGCTGCTTACTCTTTCCCTTGCCTGGGCATATTCTGAAGGCCTACACCTCCATTACCATAGGAAGTGGCAGCCTTCTGTCTCACCTCTTTGCTTTGTTTATCATTTAAAAAATGTAATGCGACAGGAGGGATGATCCGATGCCCAGAGACTGAGATGTGTCAACAGATGGAGTGGCAGAAGGAAGGGGTCCTGACCGTACACAGAGCTACAGGTGGAAGGAAGGCCTTGAGGGAGAGAAGCCAGCAGGAAGCCATCTCTTCCACCTTCAGTTTGAAAGTCCTGAAGTGTGTGGCACAGCAAGTCCACTTCTGAGAATTTATCTTTATGCCAGTTAGGGTCCAACCTAGAAAAAAGAAAAAAAAAAAAACAACCCTGGGTATTTGTAGCAGAGATTAATACAGGAAGTTGTCTTCCACATTAAGGGGCACATTCCAGAGCTGAGCACCATCAGAAAGCTCTCCACCCACTGGGCTGAAGGGGTATAGGAGAGAGGCATATATCAGATGAGGAACAAGGTCACTTGACAGAAGTGGGGATTCTACTAGGCCTGCCTGGCAGCAGTCAGACCATAGAGGAGAGACACAGTTGCTGGTACCTGATCTTCTGCCCCCTCTATTTTCTGTCTCCCATTTATACCTCCCACTGAACAAACCCAGCTGGAAACCAGGGCTCAGCCTGCGGGGGCTCATCCAGCCCTAGGAGACAGAGCAGAACAAGAGAAGGGTAAGAAGTGGACCTGCGTGCTCACTGGCCTGGGGGAGCAACCTGAAATACAATAACATGCATTTCAAAAATTAAATGCTTGCAAATGGGTAAATCATAGATTCTTGTACCTAATTATATGAATTAAGTTTGGATTTAAGAAGTGCTGAAATCATCAGAATCCATTCTAGAAAAAGAAATCCTGGAAAATATAATAATGGAAGAAGGATAGATGGGATAAAAGTCAGAGTTAGGATAAGTAAAAATAGATTGTGTACTTGTAAATGCTAAGAGAAGGGGAGAAATAATTCTAGTTGAAGTTGGATAAAATATGCTGAGACAAAACACAAATTGCAGCTCATGTTCTCACAAATGATCTGGCCCCATTTATAAGAGAAGAATGTCTAAATGTTCCCTGTGATATGACATGAGATGGAACTGGTGACAAAGAATCATAGAAAATATGCCCTTTGCCAGGCACAATGGTGCATGCCTGTAATCCCAGCTGCTTAGGAGGCTGAGATAGGAGGATTGTGAGTTCAAAACCAGCCTCAGTATCAGTGAGGGACTAAGCAACTCAGGGAGACCCTGTCTCTAAATAAAATACAAAATAGGGCTGGGGATGTGGCTTAGTGGTTGAGTGCCCCTGAACTCAATCCCTGGTACCAAAAAAATAAAAAAATATGACCTTCACCATGAGGTCTGACCACATGTTTAAGCACCAGCTCAATATCCCAATAGATGATTGGAAACAAAGGATAAAATTGACGAGAAGACAGTAACACAAGAACTCATCATCATGAAGCTATGGCCTAGGCCTTCACAGTGATGAGAATAAGATTAAAAATCAGCAGGCAACTAGAAGAGATCATTAGATCGTCAAAGAACAATCTAATTTTCATGTTGCCAAGAAAAGCCTAAACACACAGAAGCTGTGAATTACAAATAGCATATATCAAAGAAGGAGAAGGACAAAAAAGTCTCAGAATAAGGCCAGCTCTTTAAATTGAATTCATTTAGATAAAATTAACTTGCTATATCTTCCCATCTTTCTCCTTTTGCTACAAAGTAATACTTGGTGACTACTGCATTTTACAACCCCTGAATTTCTTCCTATTATCAAAATTCTATGACCCTGGCCTGTTTTGTTAGAGCAGATTTATTCTATGTCAGGCGTGAACTAAAAAGAATGTTAAGTGAAGAGCATAGTTAAATTTAATTGATACCCAGAGAGGCAATTGATTTTCCATCATTCACCACCAATGAACTTTACTGGTAGGAGGAAATCCACTCTCTCAGCAAAAAAGGAGGAGGAAGTGTATTGGTCTCATCCTCACCCCCAGCAGCCTTCCCTTTGGAAGCAAATGAACTTGACTTCTATTGGCTAAATCTCTTTGGACCACACTGAGCACTTGACTCCTAAAGCAATCAATCTCTCCTAACTAATCCGAAATTTATAGAGTTGGGAGTGTCCTGGTGCAGGAAACATCATCCAAACCTGGATGATGACAGCAAACCAGAGAATGAATCTTTTTGAGATTTGACTATGAGAGATATGTAGAGAGAAGGTAGCTTCTCATTATGCTAATGTGGTACCATCATCAGTCTGGAGACTCAGTGGCTCCCCCAGAGGCCACGCTCTGCCATGTGGCTGTGTGGAGTGATTCCTGAAAACTTCATCTTGAGCCTTTCTTTCCCCTCTCAATGGCTCTATAAACCAACCTTTGACTGATGCAAATGTAACTCCTGCATTAAAGGCATCCTCCCCACCCCCCCACTCCACCCCCCCACTCCCCACCACAAAACAAAACAAAAAAGGCCTCCTGGCCCCTGGGGGAGCCAGGCAAGTAAACAAATCCATGAGGACAGTGTTGTCATTCTGGTATACAGACGACTGCATTGGGCAGGTACAAGAGTGAGCCCCTAAACCGGAAGGAGCCAAGAAGGGTTCACGCTGACCTTGAAAACTATATGGGAGATTAGCAGAACACAAAGAGTGAAGTTGTCCAAGGCCAAAGATGTGGCAAGGGCATAGAACATGAGCAGTGGGGTTGGCAAGGTAATGCAGAAAGTGGCAGGCAACCACATGTTTAGAGAGCAAGAAAACCGAGTAGGGGAAGGTGGAGCAGTTTGGAAGCCCCTTTGAGTGCCTGAACTGAGGTTGCAAGAGCTCTGACTGTCCTGAGCCTCATGCTTCACAGAGTCCTTCTGGGTGTGGTGCTATCTTCTGGAGATGGTTTGAGTGTGTCCCCCAACAATTTCATGTGTCGGACATTTGGTCCCAAGTGTGGTGAGAGGTGGTGGAATCTTCAAGAGATGTGGCCTAGTGGAAGGTGATTAGGTCACTGGGCAGTGCCTTTGGAAGAGATTAATATGGCTTTGTGGTACCCCAGTTAGTTCTCATAAAAGTGGGCTGTTCTAAAGTCACATTCTTGGGATGCATTTTCCTTCCTGCTTCTCTGTCATTTACATTTCTGCTCCTCTGCCCTATCTCAGGGGGCCCTCACCAGAAGCCATACAGATGGACCACCTGACTTTGAACTTTCAGCTTCCAAAACCATGAGCTAAATAAATGTCTTTTCTTTGTAAGTACTTTGCATCTGGTATTTGGTTATAGCAACAGAAAACAGACTAATACGGTAAGCCTGTCACATTCTTGTCACATCAGCCCTTTGCTGTCAGGAGCTGCTCTGGACAGAAGCTATGTGCACTCCTTTAAGTCCTGAGTAAAGGGGTACTGAACAGTTATTGCACCTGACAATACATTGGGCTTAACCTCTGCTCTGATAAGAGAGGTGTGGCTCCAAGAGTGGGAGTCACCGGATGGGGTTGAATTATACCCACCTGTTCCTTTGTAATCCTACCCCTTTACCCTTTTTGGGATAGAATGTTCCATGGAATCTCCCCTTGTGTGTCCCCTATATAAGAATAAAGAATTCCAGTGGCTCATTCTCTTTCCACAGACCCCTAAGGCCACAGAGCCATCCTCTGATTTTGAAAAGGTACTTCTGTGTGTTTGCATGCTTTCTGCACCATTTTCTTAAGTTATTGGAATAGTCAGATTTTGTGAACCCAGCATTAGGGCACCAGCTCAGGTAGATGGTGATACTTTGCCTGCTTCATCCTTCCAATGATAGCCCCGATCCAGGGTAGGTTAATCACTATGGCCCTGTCCTATAAAGCGAGTACTCTGATCTCTGAACATAAAGAAAGAAGAAGGGAAGGTGTGGATAGATTTGCCCAAGTCTGTGACTGCTTTAAAAAAAAAATCAGGACTCAGCTCTCTCCTTTATCTCCCACATTCAGTATCCATTCATTAATCTCTTTGTAATTTATCTATTTATCCTCCATTCATCCATCCATTCATTCATCCTTTCCATCCACTCTTCGCTGTTGATATTTCTCTGTATCTATTTATTCCTGTATCTGTAGCTACAATATCAAATGTTTATTGCTTAGTGTATGTCAGGCAGTGCTCCAGATGTTTTACATATATCAATTCAGTTCATTGATCCTCACAACCACCCTGGATGTGGGTGTTATTTTTATCCCCATTTTACAGATGAGAAAATTTGTCTCAGAGAGGTTAAGTAACTTGCCCAAGGTCACGCCTTACATTTACCTTTGTCTTTATACTGTTCCTCAAAGGGGGACTCTCTCATTCCATTGATCACCCAGTTTGTTGATTCCATTTTCCAAATACCTCTCAATTTTCCACCTTCACTCTTTTCATTCAAATTCTATTGTATTTAGTAAGTGCTTCCTCCCCAGCTAAGCCACTCCTGGTTTGGGATGATTCTGTTTTCCAGTTAGTCACTCAAATTTCAACTTCCCCACATTCCTTTTTTCTTTCTCTTCTTCCACATTCCACAACTTACCCCCAGCACAAGTAGGGTGATCTTCCAAGAACAGTGTCCTTAAGAAAGCTGTCCTGAGCACTGAGGTACATCTAGCATGCCTGGCTTGGGGCTGCTACATGGTAATAGCACCCTGCAGGCATTATGAGAAACAGAAATGCCCGAGAGACATTTTCAAACATCTTAGTTGAAAATCTCTATTAGAAACATGTACACATGTATGTTATAACACTTAAACCTCTTTGAAATCCTTAGATAGGTTTATTCATTGAGACACATTGATCCCTGACCACATCAGACACTGGGCTAAGCAGTGGAAATAGTGGTGAGTACAGCACAACAGAGAGGCTGAACAACCCTTCACGGGTTGCACAGGAGCAGTTCAGGCAAGAGCAACAGGAAATGCCTCCTGAAGAGTAAGACTTGAACTGCCTTCTAGCAGATGAGCCACAGTTGGCTGGGCAAGGCCAGCAGCAGGGAGAGGACGAGCATTCTGATCAGAAAGAGCATCATAGGCACGGTTCCCCATGAGAAGGAGGCCACATTGAGTCCTGTAGACACAAGAAATCTGGTGAGGCTGGAGGAGAGCGGTGGAGAGGGGGAGGTCCAGGAAGAGGCAGAAGAAAGCCATAGTCTATGCAGAATCCAGGGGCCATGTCCAGGGTACTGGTCTTCATCCCAGGGCAAACAAACGTGGTTGCTTTAAATTTAAAACTCAGTTGCACCCAGGTGTAATTTTAAAGCAGTAAAATGCCCCTTTGTTGAGTGAGCAGCTCAGTGAGCA